CAGCTCGGCATGGGCATCGAGGACCAGAGGAAGGAGGACGGCGAGGAGAAACGCTACGACGACGAGACGCCTACGAGGTGCAGTGCATGCGGTCGGGCACCGAGGGCACGCATGTTTCCTTGTCCTGCTCGGTGCAGCGCTTCCCTGTGTTCTGAGGGCTGCCTCAGACAGCACTTCGACGAGGAGACCGGGTGCCAGAAGTGCATGTTCACGATGCCGTACGCGGCCCTGTTCGGGTTCGAGACGGACGCCGCCGTGCCGACCGCCATCCGCGCGAAGGGGGTCTTGGTTCGTACATGCCCAGCGCCGCCGCGGTGCCAGAAGGGCGCCAGTTGCTTTCTGGAAGCCTGGCTGCCTGGAGGGTGCGATCACCGAGACGACCGGTTCCGAGAGCCTGCATGGCCAGCCGGAGTGCCGTGGGCACCACAGCGCACGCTCTTGCGTCTTCGCGCTTGGAACGCCGCTGTGGCGGCAGCAGTCGATTCTCTCCAAAGTCGAAGTTCAGAAGGCAGACTCTGCTTGATCTTGCACCCGTCTGGCAGTTGGCTGTGGCGGCAGCCCGGCGTGGAGAGAGCGGCCGGAATGCAGGGAATCTTATCTTCGTGTTCTTGCACGTGCCGCTTTGGCTCGCAGATCGGCACGCCCTTCCGGATCTTGCACAACAGCGTGGAGTTGGACGCGCTCCTCGGCAAGGGATTTTGCATGTGCCTTCCTGAGGGCCAGGGCGCGTTCGCAGAAGACTTCCCCTTGAAGCTGGCTGACCTCCTGGCCGGATGGGCCGCTGAGGGTGCCATTGCTGCTCAGGGCGCCACGCTCCCTGCAGCGCCCTCAGAACAGCCTTTGTGGCTGGCACGGGCCCTTGGCGAGGCCACTGCCCGGTTGCGTGGCCCGGAGGTGCAGCCCGAGGTAATCGATAAGATTTTGAAGGTGATGTCTACCATGCGCCGAGGCTTCGAGGAGGACCACTTGAAGGCGATGCTCCGGCAAGCCGACTACAGAGGGTCGGACGTGAGGCTCTCCACTCAGGCTCTCCTCGACGGCTGCAGGCAGGACGTGCCCTACCCGGCATTTTGTTGGGAGTGGGCGACGGTGCAAAGCTACAGCTGGAAGCATCATCAGCACATCAACGCACTAGAGTTCGCAGCGTTCTTGAACTACGTGCGGGCGCAGGCTGGGAGCAAAGACTTCCACAAGAGACGCTTTTTCCATATATTTGATAGTCGGGTCGTCAGTTGCGTGGTGGCGAAGGGGCGCTCTTCGTCGCGTATCTTGAATCGGTTGTGTCGCCGTTTTGCGGCTTTCTCCCTCGCGTCCAACACGTATGTGCTCACCTTCTGGACGATCTCCGCCTGGAACCACAGCGACGCCGCCAGTCGGCGGCTGCATTGCGATGATGAGTAGCACTAGGAGGCGGCCGAAAATGGTCGCCCGGAAGGCGCACATCAAGCACGAGGGAATACAACCAGTCACAGCGCGACGATACCGACACAGTCTTGCACGCTTTTTCGAATTCATTTCTTCGCACAGGCGGCCGTGGCCGCGATCTCTGGACGAGTTGGACGAGGAAGTCGGGGAATACATCAACCACCTCTATTTGGACGACCTGCCACAGTATTGGGCCAGCGACCTGGTCAGCGCATTCAAGCGCCACTACCCGAAATGCCGGCGGCACTTGGGAACAGCTGAGGTTTACCTCAAAAACTGGGCCCGGGTTACGGCCAGACGCCGGGCAATCCCAGCTACTCGTGACCTCGTCCTCAGCATGGCTGCGGCGGCGCTCATCGAGGGCAAGGTCCGGCTGGCGTTCTGCATCCTCCTCTCCTTCGTTGGCCTGCTTCGCGTCGGCGAGGTCGTTGGTGCCACCTCCCGGCAGTTCCGCCTCTATGGCGGCGGCTCGCTCCTCACGCTTGCACTACCAGACAGCAAAGGCGCGAAACGGAGCGGGGCGTCTGAGCAGGTCACGTTTTACGACCCCCTGGTTCTCAAGCTTGCGGGCGCGATCCTCCAGGACACCGGGCACGACGAGAAAATCATGGATCTGGGCTACGCCGGCTTCGCGGCAGAGATCGCCAGGTTGGGCCGGATGTTTGGGATGAGCTCACCTCGTTTCACGCCGTACTGCTTGAGGCGAGGCGGCGCCACCTGGCACTTTACCCGGTTCACGAGCTACGACGCGACGCAGCACCTCGGCCGGTGGACGCAGGCCAAGACTGCCAGGCAGTACATCGACCAAGCGACGGCGGAGGCGACGGAGATGAGATTACCGGATTGGGGCCTCAAGCGCATCAGCCTCGCGGTGAAGTGCATCGGCCAGCTGGTGGACGAGGCAGTTGCGAAGCACCCCCGTTCGCAGTCAAGCGGCGCCGCCGGATTTCGGCCACGTTCGTAGGAGAGCTCTGTTCATGCACGCGGTGACAATGGGCGGAAATCCGGGCAGTTATCCAGAGAAATTCATCTTCACACATCCCACGTTTCATTCATTATGCATGTTATTACGCCTTGCCTCTTACGGTGAGGTGGTCTGGGGCCGGTGCGTGCTGCTTTGGAGGGACACGCTGCTCGAGCTAACGTGGAGCCCGTGAGCAAAGTTGGAGCCTGTTCCGCTTTCAGACTTGGTTGGGGAATGTTGGTCGGCAGTGCGGCACATGTTGTCTCCCTGTCGAGGGTCACATGTTGATCCAGGGGCCCGCCTGGAGGACCTGCTCTTCCAGGCGGGCGGGGCACCTGCTGTCCCTGGGGGAAGGTGCGCACACGTGTGCTCTTGAGCGCACGCGTGCCTTGACTCCGGAAGGCTCGCACTCCTGAGTGTTTTGGGCCGGATCGACCTCTTGAGGCATCCTGCTTTGCAGACTCTGGCCGACGCGGCCGCAGCAAGGCATCCAGGCACGTGCTGCCTGGGTGTCCACCCTCTTGAGGGCGGGCTTGCTGCCACGAAGCTTACGCATGTCATCGACGCCGTGCTCGTGAGCTCGGCTCTGGCGCGCTCCGTGCACGCACGCACTGAGACGCACACGCGGGCGGTGGAGAAATAGAAACAATATGACCTGGCCGGAGGCCGGAAGCTTTGTTTCGCTTCCACGCGCGCGCACGCACCGGCGGGCTAGCTGACGGGTCCGTTGCCAATTTTGGCTTCCTCCTCCCTCCCCTTCCTCCTGATAGCTCCTGAGCGTCGGGTGGTCGAGGTCGGCAGTGCGGCACATGTTGTCTCCCTGTCGAGGGTCACATGTTGATCCAGGGGCCCGCCTGGAGGACCTGCTCTTCCAGGCGGGCGGGGCACCTGCTGTCCCTGGGGGAAGGTGCGCACACGTGTGCTCTTGAGCGCACGCGTGCCAGGCACGTGCTGCCTGGGTGTCCACCCTCTTGAGGGCGGGCTTGCTGCCACGAAGCTTACGCATGTCATCGACGCCGTGCTCGTGAGCTCGGCTCTGGCGCGCTCCGTGCACGCACGCACTGAGACGCACACGCGGGCGGTGGAGAAATAGAAACAAAAACTGTTGGCTCTCCGCGCGGATTTTTCGGATCCGCGCTGAGCCCCCCTCGGGGCGCCTCCGGCGCCGCCACTGGCGCGCTCCGCGCGCCAGGGAGGGGGTCCAGCGCACATCCAAGAAATCCGCGCGGAGCGCCAAAAGTTTATGATTATGGCGTTTTGTCTTATTGTGAACCTGCGGATTCGCTATCGAGGGCCTGTCGCCGATCTGTCGGCGATGTCTTGCCAACTCCAGGACGATGTCGCCCCCATGTGCCAGAGTCCCGTATCGGTGCCTCCCACAGAAGGGCTCAGCGAAGTCCTACAGCTCCCCTGCAAGTTTGAAGAGCCCGGGCGCCCCCCCCTCACCATCGCCCCTTCCAAAGTCGAAGCGGGTGCGGTCGGAAGTTTCATGCTGACCGACATCGGGTGGGCGCCGTCAAGTTCTCCGCATGCGATGCAGGTTGGCGAACGGGCATGGGGAGACGAAGTGAAGTCCTTCGCGTCAGAAGCTTGGGTGCAGCGACGGCCCGCCTTTCGGCATGCAGTGAGGGGCACCTCCTATACGCGGTGGTATCCGGCGGCAGCACAGCCACGATGTCAGACGCAGGTGGTGCAAATCGCCGGGCCCCTGGCATGTCAGAGTGGAGCTGGAGCAGCTGCGGGCGCAGGCTGCTGTGCGGGAGAGCGACGGGCAGGTGAGAGCGGGCAGGCAGCTCGAAGCCCTCGAGCAGTCGAGAATGGGCAGGTCATGGAGCTGGCGACCCGTCGGCGCGCTGAGCTCTCTTTGCAGAGTTGCACGGGTGCTGGGGTGCCATGAATCAAGGGGCCCAAGGACACACAAATAAATACACACAAACAACAGGATCCACCATACTTTCCCATAGTTTCTGGGCTTTTGTCTCCCCCCCCCGCTTCCTATATTTTCCTATATTTTCTGGGAGCTCGACGATGAACTCTGTCTGTGTGTTTTTTCCCTCCTGAATGAAGGCTGTCTCCGTGTCCTCGGCACGGGAGCGCACGCGTGGTGGTGTGCCCCCCCCGTGCGTCGAGGCACGTGGGCGGTGAGGGAGCCAGGGAAGGAGGACGATGGTGAGGAATACGGTGAGGATAGGGGAACAAAAAGTGGCATCACATAAGAACTTTGAGGTCCGCGCGGATTTCTCGGATCGGCGCTGGGGCCCCCCGGCGGGGCCTCCAGCGCCGCCCCTGGCGCGCTCCGCGCGCCAGGGAGGGGGGTCCAGCGCGTATCCGAGAAATCCGCGCGGACCTCCGAGTTTTTATGTTTATGCCACTTTTTGTTCCCCAAGAGGAGGCGGAGGCGGTGAGGCCGAGTGAGGGGCTGACGAGCACAGGGAGGACGAGGGTCAGGAGGAGGAGAGGGAGCGGAGGGGCGGTAGACGTTGAGGAGAAGGTGGCAAGGAAGACCACGCGACATTGGAGGCAAGGGGGAAAACGGCATGAAACAGAAAGTGAGGCAACGATGACCTGCACGGTTCTAAGCTCGCCCTGCTGCTGCGACCCCTGCTGCGAGGATCGAGCAGGCGAACGCAAAGATGCTCGAGCGCATCAACGGCATGAGGACCGCCACGGAGCGGCGGCGGCGCCACGAGGAGCAGAGGGAAATGGAGAGACAGGTCCTGAGCGCCCGGGTGTCCGAGAACGCCAACCGGGTCCGCATGTGGCATTTGCCGAGGCCCGCCGGGGCCGGTTGGAGGAGGTCCCTCCTCTGCTCGAGGGCGGCCACGGAGTACAGTCGGGGATGAGGGGAGGGGTGCAGTTAAGTCGGGCCCGTCCCTCTGCAGGAGGAGTATGCAAAAGTGGTCCAAATATAGCCCGGGGACGATTTGTTGACAATCTTTGTGTATGTTTGGTGCATTGTTGGGGTATTCTTTATGTTTCGTCCCAAATCCGCCTGTAGAAGGACATCCCCTACCTAAGGATACAGGCCTCGGAAAGAAAAATAGTGAACATTCATGCCACATTCATCGGTCAACGCATCCCCTCCCCACAATGTTCAACATTGGCGGTGGATCTGATGCTGATGGGTTGCACTTCGACCGCGCGTGCCAACTTTGAGTTCGGGGGAGAGGGGGGGCGAGCCTACTGATCATATCCCTTTCATGGATCTATCATGGGCGGTCCGGGGCCACGATTGCTTTTGGGATGTCACGGCCCCCGCGTCTTCTCGCCACATGTCCTCTGTTCTCCGGCCAGCAGCTTTCTTGGCATCGCTCGGACTTTTTGGCGAGGACCATGGAGGAGCATCCTGGACCATTTCGCAGAAAAGCACGCGCGAAATCAAACAAATGCACGGGGAATGAACGTCCGAGCGACGGCAAGCTTTTCGCACACGCTTCACCTGTGGTGGCCTCATTCGTCGCCCCCGCCAGACCCGATTCGAGGACGCCGGCATAGGACGGACTCCGTGGCAGATTTGGTGGTTGATCCAGGGCGCACCCTCAAGGAGCCTGATACCTGGGGGCGCAGATTGGCAGAGTTGCGATCGGAGTGTTAAGTCCCGTGCCAGCCCAGCACTCTAGGTGGTGACTATTTGAGGGACGCAGGGACAAAAGACGCTCTTGACTCTTCGTGTCCTGAGGCTTGGGACCGCGGTAGAGTGTGACACGCTCTTCCGGCCTTATGTCGGCATGTCTCTCCTCGTGTTCGTCCTCGTCTTCCTCCCTTCTTGTTTCGTCCTCCTCTTCTCTTGGGGCACCCGGGGGCATCGTGGGGGCCTCTTGGGGGCCACTTGGGGGCGTCAGGGGGGCTCCGCGGCGGATCTCAGGCGCTCCGTGGGCCGTCCCAGGGCGTCTTTGGCAGTCTCGTGTCCCCGGCTGTCTGGGCCTCTCTGGGCCGTCTTGAGTCGCTCTTGGGGTCCTGCAGGGCTGTCCTGGGAGTCCAACTTTGGCCGTCTTGGGGCCTCGGTTGCCCATCTTGGGGCCTCCTCTGCGCGCCGGAAACACTGCGGTGGATCTCGAGGAGCGTCGATTTCGATGATAAGTACTTCCGTTTGCACGCATCGAACATGCATGTTTGGATGTTTGCGCCCCCCAGCCAGTGATTTCTCCCATCCAGCTTAGGCGAAATCTGCGATGCATTCAAATGTTTTGCGCGACATCCTGCACAGTCTCTCGCGATTGACCTCGGGGCCGTCTTCTAAGTTTAGGTCCCCGAGTCTCTGCGGTCAATGTGCAGACCGTTTCTGTGCTGCCGATGGGTGGATTAGCGGCATCTTGGCTCAATGTAGCAGTCTTCGAACTTGTGTGGCGCCATGATGTATCAATGATGCCAGCGGCCAAGCGTCCTTCACATTTGTTTGGTGGCAACTTTGTCTTCAATGGTCGCTTTTGGACGACTCCTGTGCCCCTGCACATTACGTTGGAGCACACCAGAGACAAGCCCGTCGTTCCAATGTTGGCTTCCAGAGACGTCATCATCAGTCCATGCATACTTTCGACAGTTTCTGTCCAAATCTAGACGCCACCTGAGCCGCTGGCTGGAATCATACTGAATCCACTGCCTCGCAGTCTGGACTCCCCAGACGCGACCAAATGGATACAGGGTGGCTTGGCACGGATGCTCCACGTGGAACGTATCCAGAAGATCGCGTCTCCATGTGATGGTTCATGGGTGTCCAGACCACGGGGTCATGGATATGGTATGTCCCTCGCTCTCGACAGATTTCGGTGTCCTGGGCAGCGCCCCTCTCCGCAACATTGCCGCGCCAGGCCAGTGCCACGCCCCACCAAAACGAGCACCTTCTTCGACGAGCCGGCGATGACCAGCACTAGCCTCTTCTCCCGGACGTCGTTGCCACTCCAAGAGCGAAGCCCCCAGGGTTCGGATCAATACCAGCGGCAGAGGAGTATTCGAGGAGGAGGGCGAGGAAGATTCAGGCTATCGATCAAGAGGAGGCAGAGGAGAAGGATAAGCCAAGGGAGTAGAAATAGAGGATCTCTTCCGCTGAGTTGGCGCGACGCTGGGCGCCGCGAAGGAGCGTTTGTGACTACAGCCTGGTTTTGTAAATTGCTGTCGCTGGCGTCGCGCAGTGCAACCACACAGGCATTCCCATGACATTGTTGACGGATGCAATGCGTGCCGCGGGTACGGCTGAATTGGGGTCCCGTCGGCGAGTGCATAGGCAGTTTTGCAGCAACGTGTTGCAGCGCCGAGCTGTCGTTGTCGGCACCTGGCTCACATTGAGGCGATGCCTCAATTCATCACATGGCCCCTGATGGCGTGCTGTTGGGGCTCTTACAACTGTGACACATTTCAACGCAGAAGCTGTCTTGTGAATTGTGAAAGGCGTTGTGCACAGTCGCATGCAGTCGCATGCTGCTACGGCGCATCGCAACATCATTCGATTGGCCATCGTGACGTACAGTACATGCGATTGCGCGTTCGCTCACACCGGTCTGCTTGCGCGCTGTGTCAACGTGACGGCTGGTAGGCTCCTGTATCGTTGGCGTGCGCGGGCCATGACTGCAGGCCGTGTCTGCAGATTCGGCCCTGTCGATTCCACATGCGCAACTGTTCTCCCGACACGCCGTGCTGCGATCAAGCAACCAGTGCAAGCGCTTCGGAGTTCCGTTAGAAGCTGCTAGTATGAAGCGCGAAGAAATGATTTCTCTTACTGGTGGGCGTCTTACCGTTCGATGGCCGAGGTCCACAATGCGTTCGTATGCTTGGACTGCCATGCACATGCGCTTCTTGCAAGCAGCCAGCAACCCATGCGTTCACCCACTACCGAACTGGCTGTGATAACGCGCACAGGCGAACATTCCGATACAGTGAATTCCGATGTCTGCAGGTTATACGTGGTGCGGGAGACGCGGAAGGGCGTGCGACGTGGGTAATTGAACGTGTCCGTCCTGGCGAATTTGTGATCGAATGGGACGGCCTTTGCTTGGGCCATATCTTCAGGGTCCCACACCCTGTCGGATCTTGAGAGGAAATGTCGCTCCTCCGGGGTGTAAACGCGACGTCGGTGTCGGTCCCCAGGCGAAAACCTGTATAGACGGCATAAGCCGTCTATGAACCACCTGCATACGCGCCGCGCGTGCCAGCTCGCGCGGAAACGCGTCGTCCAATGGCCTCGTACGTGGCTGGCGTCGTCCATCTCCTCGTGGTGAATGTTGCCTGGCGCGTTGCATTGCCTCTGCGGCTTTGCCCCCTCCCCTGACTGACACGCTTCGGGCCGCCATGGGGCGTGTGAACGAACGCAGACGGGAGAGGCCGAGGATGGTCACGATGAGGCGGAAGAGGGGGAGGGAGGGAAGGAGGGGGATAGGGGGAAGGAGGAAGGTGGTAGTCGAGGGATGCAGGGGGAGGGGGAGGCAGGAGTGGAGGGAGGGCGTGGGAGGGCCTGGATGGATGCACGTGGGCGGAGGAGGAGGAGGAGGAGGAGGAGGAGGAGGAGGAGGAGGGGGAGGAGGAGGAGGAGGAGGAGGAGGAGGAGGAGGAGGAAGAGGAGGAGGAGGAGGAGGAGGAGCATGACGCCCTTTCATCCCCAGGTGGGCAGGGGCAGCACGGACGGGAGCGGGAGGGCCGGGGGCGGACTGGCGCACGCGACCGGGGCAGGAGAGCCAAGATTAAGTCGGGCCTGTCTATCTACAGGAAAAATATTCAAAAGTAGTTGAGACAAATCAGCTTGGTGCGATTTTTCTAGTCACAGTGAGAGGGCCGAACGGTCATTCAGTGTCCCGAGGTGCGTGACTGACGTGGAAATCCGTGGTGAGGATTCTGCTTGTTGCGTTGTTGTTGTTGTTGTTGTTGTTGTTGTCGTTGTTGTTGTTGTTGCAGTTGCTGTTGTTATGATTGTTGCTGTTGTGGTTGTTGTTGTTGAAGTGTTTGGGGTTGCTGTTGCTGTTGCTGTTGCTGATGATGTTGTTGATGATGGTGTTGGTTTCAGTGTTGTTGGTGTTGTTGTTGTTGATGTTGATGTTGTTGTTGTTATCGTTATTGGTGTTGCTGCTGTGGTTGCTGATGTTGTTGTTGGTGGTGCTGTTGTTGTTGTCGTTGCTGTTGTTGCTGGTACTGTTGTTGTTGGTTGTGTTTTTGGTGTTGTCGGTGTGGTTGTTGCTGTTGTTGTTGTTGTTGTTGTTGTTGTCCTTGTCCTTGTTGATGTTGTTGGTGTCGGTGTAGTAGTAATAGTAGTAGTAGTAGTAGTAGTTGTTGTTGTTGAACATTATCTATTCTAAAGAATAATTATTGTTGGGCCCCCTGGTGCGCGCCCCCCCTGCGCCGCCTAGGCCGCAGCTACATTTTCATCATTTTCGTGAGGAAGCCTCAGAAAAGAGGGTGTGTACAGGATCCGGTTGTTTTGTTGTAATCCGCTTTCCCTTGCAAAAAACAATAGAAAATGACATTTCTTGTTCTAATATAATCAAATTTCAAGAATCCCTTGCAAAAAATAAGGTAAAGTGGACATTCGCGCGCGCAAGACGAAATCCTTCCAAAACCTTAGTGTTCGCAGCGATTTTAACATAAAAACATCAAAAAACCAATGGTTTTTCAACAAAAAATTGTCAAAATCTCATCCCGCGCGCTCTTGCGGATTCGTAGGAAACCCAACACTTTTTAAACATTTCTGTCAAACGGGCTTTTGCGAGCAACTTTTTCGAACTTCTGCAACAACGGTTGCGCACCTGCCAGGGCCATCATCCCTGTCAAATAATACCATGCGGGACACATTCGTTTTTTCTTCGCGCGCGCACGCCGTCGTCGTCGGCCGCGGGGCCCTGAATAGTAGCCACGGTCGTCCGCATGCCACGAAGTGAAGTGTCCGAACGTCATAGGGCGGGAAGCTGGGTGTGGGTGGTGGCGAAGAGTCGTTTGGAAATTTGGTAGAGCTTGAACCGGCCCCCCCACAAAGTGGGGGTATTGCCCGCCTCCTATGAAAACCCTGGCACTGGTGAGAACGGAGTGTCCCCACGTGCTAGTAATTGTTGTTGTTGTTGTTGTTGTTGTTGTTGTTGTTGTTGTTGTTCCTGTTGCTGTTGTTGTTGGTGGTGTTGAATTCTCATCTCTGAAGAATAAGTATGGTTGATCCCTCCCCACCAGTGCATACTGTCTTTTCTCAATCAAGGTGTGCCCCTCGACGCTCGCACTTTGTTTTTTGACAGGGGAAGTCTTGATGCTCAAACTGGGCCCCTGGCCCCCGGGTTACAACAACAACGGCTCCCGCCTGAGACTTCCTTACAATTTAGCCAGGACCCTCGCTCCCGCCCGATACTTCCTCGCATTTTATTCAGGAATCGCGCTCTCGCTTGGGACTTCCTTACAATTTATTCAGGAATCGCTTTCCCGGCGCTCTGGAGTCGCGCTCTCGCTGGAGACTTGCTTGCAACTTATTGAAGAATGGCCTTGCATTGGAATTTCTTGCAATTTGCCCAAGCGCCGCGCTCCCGACACCCAGGCACCCAGGAGTCGCGCCCGTTGTGGCCCCATGTGCATACCCTTCGTGGTCCCGCTGTCGCCATTTGTGTCCCCCTCACTGTCCTACGTGGCCCAGTTGCTACCCTCAGTGGCCCCATAGTTGCCTTCTGTGGCCCTGCATTATCTGCACTTCGTGGCCCCCGCTCGTTCGCGCTCTTCGTGGCCCCATACGCATTCCCTTCGTGTCCCCGCTGTCGCCCTTCGTGGCCTACTTCGTGCCCTTCGTGGCCCTGCTGTCGTTCTCTCTCGCTCTCGCTTTCGCTCGTCGTCGCCGTCGTCGTCGTCGTCGCCGTCGTCGTCGACGTCGTCGTCGTCGTCGTCGTCGTCGTCGTGGTCGGTCCCCTGTCCGTCCCTCTTGGGGTCGGGTCGACGGTCCGCGGCCGCCCCGCCGATCAGCGCTGCCGCTGGCCAGGCCGACGGTCCGCGGCCGCCCCGCCGCTTGCCGGGGCCCGGCCTGCAGGGAAGAAAGGGATACCCCCCAAAAGGGGTTCGATCGAAGACGAAGAGGGCGGGTATCGAGGGTTTGGGAAATACGCGTTATTGGACACTCGAGCATATACTGGCGAACAGCCTTAAAATTATTATTGTTGTTTGTTGTTCTTGTTGTTGTTGCTGCTGTTGAACATTATTACTTCTAAAGAATAATTATTGTTGGGACCCCTGGTGCACGACCCCCCTCCAAAACCTAGGCCGCAGCTACATTTTCATCATTTTTCTGCGAAAGCTTCAGAAAAGTGGATTGTTACCGGATCCGGTTGTTTTGTTGACGCTCGTTTTCCCTTGCAAAAAACACTATAAATGAAAATTCTTGTTCTTAGTTGATCAAATTTCCAGAATCCCTTGCAAAAAATAAGGGAAAGTGGACATTCGTGCGCGCAAGACGAAATCCTTCCAAAACCTTAGGTTTCGTAACGATTTTCACATAAAAACATCAAAAACCCAATGGTTTTTTAAGAAAAAATTGTCAAAATGTCCTTCCGCGCGCGCTGTCCGAATCCCACAAAACCAATGGTTTTTCAACATTTATGTTACATGAGCTCGCGCGAGCTACTTTTTCTTGTTCTAACATAATCAAATTTCAATAATCCCTTGCAAAAAATAAGTTAAAGTGGACATTCGCGCGCGCAAGACGAAATCCTTCCAGAACCTTAGGTTTCGTAACGATTTCAACATAAAAACATCAAAAACCCAATGTTTTTTCAAAAAAAAAATGTCCAAATTTCATCCCGCGCGCGCTGTCCGACTCCCACAAAACCAATGGTTTTTCAACATTTATGTTACATGAGCTCGCGCGAGCTACTTTTTCTTGTTCTAACATAATCAAATTTCAATACTCCCTTGCAAAAAAAAGTAAAGTGGACATTCGCGCGCGCAAGACCAACAAAAAACACGACGATCTCAGGAACTTGCCCCAAAAATATGACCAACTCCGCTCTCTCTGTCTCTCTCTCTGTCTGCTCTCTGTCTCTCTCTCTGTCTGTCTGTGTCATGTATTGTATGTCACAATTGCAGGATGCTGGCACACGCGCGCCCCGAATAAGTGACCAAGTTCTGTGGGTGTGTACCCCACGCCAGTGTAGTAGCCACGGTCGTCCGCACGCCACGAAGTGAAGTGTCCCAACGTCATAGGGCGGGAAGCTGGGTTTGGGTGGTCGCGAAGAGTCGTTTTGATATTTGGTAGAGCTTGAACTGCCCCCCCACGAAGTGGGGGTATTGTCTCGCGTCGCATGAAAACCCTGGCACTGGTGAGAACACTGAGCGTTCGGGTAAAATGATTGTTGCTGTTGTTGTTGTTGTTGTTGGTGTTGTTGTTGTTTGTTGTCGTCGTCCCGCCCACGACCCACCCTCCACCCACCCCACGACTCCACGACCCAACCCGCGACCCACCCCGCGACCCAACCCGCGACCCACCCGCGACCCAACCCGCGACCCACCCGCGACCCAACCCGCGACCCAACCAGCGACCCACCCGCGACCCACCCGCGACCCACCCCGCGACCCACCCGCGACCCACCCGCGACCCACCCCGCGACCCATCCGCGACCCACCCGCGACCCACCCGCGACCCAACCCGCGACCCACCCGCGACCCACCCCCCGCGACCCATCCGCGACCCACCCGCGACCCACCCGCGACGCACCCGCGACCCACCCGCGACCCACCCGCGACCGATCCACATTTGTTTGAAGAAACAATCGGCGCCTGCGGCTGTCTCGTTGCATAATTTGTCAAACTTTGGCGCCTGCGGCGGGCTTCTCCCGAGTCTGGCAGACCGCCGACGTCCCCAACGCCCCCTCACTCTTATCCGCATCTGCGGGGTGCTACGGGAAGTATTTGTTGATTGTGCTTGAATGTGTTTTGGCTTTGTTTAAATCTGTTTAATCTTTCCTCCACAATCTGCCTGTAGGGGACATGCCCGACCTAAGGCCAGGACCCCCCCCCTGCCGAGAGAAGGAGCTCCGCGGGGGCGCCCCAGCGGAACGGAATCCGAGGGGCCGCTGTCGGGCATGGGGGTGTCCTTGCAGAGTCCGCGAGAGGCACTTCTCTGAGACGGCCTGGAGCTTTTTCGGGGACAGCGTCGGCCAGCGCGCCTCGGGGGACTCCTAGCCAGCGGCCTCTGGCTCTCAGAAGGGAAGTTCTGGGCCTCCCAGTTATTTCTTTCGTTGAGCTTTTCTCATGGGCGAGAAAGAGAGAGGGAGAGAGAGAGAGAGAGAGAACTTCTAGCAACTCACGAGCGAGAGAGAGAGAGAGAGAGAGAGAGAGAGAGCGAGAGGAGATACATAGAGAGGGTATTGCGGGATTCCCTTCCGCGTCGAAGAGATGAGGCGAAGCTTTGCGAACCCCTCAGGTTCGACCGCGCCATTGCCGCTCGAGGACTCCGCCTGGTCGCCGCTGGGATCCACCTTCCAGGACCCGCCGTTACGGGTATTATCGTTTTTCGTGTGTTGCGAACCCCGTGCCTCCATTCGATTGCATTCGATATCGCCGTGGGTGTCTACACGAGTTGGGGATGCCAGGCCCCCCCCGATCGTTTGAGGGTCGTCTGGCTGTTCTTGGGGCGCCAGGGTCGTCCCAAGGCGTGAGGCGCGGCAGCTGCAAAAGCATGTGTTGGGCCCTGGGTATCCACTGCCGACGACAGTCTGGCGGGCATTCCAAGTATCGTGTTGCATGGGGCCCGTGTCGGGCACTGGCCCTGGGGCAATACAGAATCAACAAGGGGGAGGACGTTCTGCCCCAAGGTTGAGAAGTCCACAGCCACGAGGCCACGATCTCCCTGGGGTGGTGGAAACCTGGCATTGCCAACGAGACGAGCAGCGGCCCCCAGCCATTCTTGCCCCCCAGAGTTGATGAGCAGGCGCCCATGGCCAGGCAAGGAGGATTGACGCCCAGATCCTTGCCATGAGAAGGCCTGCCAGGAGAAGTGCCAGTGTGTGGGTGTCGGTCTCCTCCATGTTGCTTGTTCCTGGTGCTGTCACTTCGGGTTTTGTTTGTCGATTCGACGAGTCCGATTGGGCTGTTTCCGGGATCGTTGATCCATCTAGTTCCTGGCGTGGCCGCAAGCCACGCCAGGCCTCAGACATCGTGGTGCTGGGGCCGAGAGCTCTCGATCCAATCTTGACGCGAGACTTCCCATGCCCAGCCGAACCGCGCGTTCCCGGGGGTCCGCGACGTGTCGGGGTGTCCGTCGTGACCTCACCACGACGGGAGAGCCGGTAGCGAAGCTTTGCTGTGGCGACGAGGGAGCCCTCGAGGCCTCGCAGGGCCAGATCCCACCAACCCTCAGAGGGTGGAGCCTCGGGCGCTTTGGCTCGCGCTTCACAGGGGGCCACGCGGAGCGACTCCGCCGGACCGAGGCGGGCGCCTCGCTCGCGGCGCCCGACGGGAGCCGCGGGCCGCAGAGTGCCGCTCGGGAGCTGCGCACGGCCCCGGCAGCTTCGGGGGGCCCCCCTGCTGGACGCCGTGGACGCCCTGTAGAGCTTGAGGGGGCCCCAGCGAGGCAAGTCCTCCCTCCTCTCCGTGCTCGGACGCCTCTCGAGGTCGCCTGCATGCCTCGGAGGCCGTGGAGGCACTCCTGGAGGGTCTCTGGGTGCCCCTCGAGGGGCCACTGCCGCCACTGCAGCACCCCACGCGTGCCCCAGCGGCATCCACCGCGGGCGTCCCGAGGGCGCTCCAGGGGTCCCGACAGGAGGATGGGCAGGAGGTTCTTCATTTCTAGGCTTTCTGTTGGTGCGTCAGGGGCCCTACGCGCAAGGGGCCTCGGCGGGGATGCACGCTGACTGTGCACGTCTGTCCGAGCCAGAGGGCGTGCTGCACCGGAGGGGGTGGCTTGTGGTTGGGTCACGCGGTGGAGGAGGAGCGGCAGGTGGACGATCACCGCAGATACGCCAACGGTGATGCAGGTAACAGCGATGTCGGTTTCGGTCGTGTAGGTGGGGGTGGTTCGTGGCCACCCCAAAGTCGCCGCTGACAACGCCGCCGTCAGCGTGGCCTTTTGGGGGCCGCAGCAGCATCAGCAGCACGAGCAGCAGGCGGGGGCGGCCGCGAAGTCGACCACAACGACGACGACGACCACGACCACGACGACGACGACGACGACGACGACGACGACGACGACGACGACGACGACGACGACGACGACGGCGAGGACGATGTGGGCGGCGAGGACGATATGGGCGGCGAGGACGATATGGGCGGCGACGGCGGCGGCGGCGGTGAGCAGGGCCACAAAGGCGGCGGCGGCGGCCGGCAGCCTCCCCGAGAGGCCCAGGGGGGCAGCGCGTCGCCTCGGCCGCCCTCGCGGGCCTGCCGCCCCAGCGGGGAGAGGCGAGACGGGCACGAGCAGCACTCGAGCAGCACCCGCCGCGGCGCCCCTTGATAAGCCCGCCGCCCCCAGCACCGGGCCTGGGACGCGGACGCCCTGGCGCTGCCCTGACGCAGGGCGCGCGCGCGCCGGGGCTCCCCGTCGCTTTTTCGCCGGAGCCCCGGCTGGCGGCGCGCCGGAGCCCCGTCGGCCGGCAGGGTGCGCCGGGGGGCCGGCCGTCATGGGCGACAAGCCTCGCACGACTACGCGCAAGAACTTGGCATCGCTCGGAGGTGTGCATCTTCTTTCGGCGAGGACCATCGAGGAGCATCCTCGATCATTTGGCGAAAAAACCACGCACGAAACTGAAACAAACACAGGGAATGGACGTCCGAGCGATGGCCAGAGAAGGACCTGTCCCGAGGAACGAAAACGATACAGCCAGAAACTGTTGGCGCTCCGCGCGGACTTCTTCGGTCGGCGCGGGGACCCCCTGGTGGCGCCTCCGGCGCCGCCCCTGGCCCGCGGAGCGCGCCACGAACGGGGGGTACAGCGCAGATCCAAGAAGTCCGCATGCCGTTCTGTTGTCTCTCTACTTTCGCCGCCAGGGTGACCTTGGGCGGGCCCATTGATGCCCCCCGATCGCAGAAGGCGAGGCGGCAGTGGCCTCTTGCGCGCTTGGGTCCCCAAGCCGCGCACCAAAGGTCGCTCTTACCCAGGGTCACTCTTGAGTGTAGCCGCCAACGGTGTGTTACTTAACGGCGACACAGGAAAACCAATTGTAGGAAAGCGTGGTTCTTGGCCAGACCGATGGTAGGAGCGCTTGGTGCGTGCTTTCCTACAAATCGCCGTGTCGTTCTCGCTCGATGCATTCGCAGATTCGAATGGCAACGGCGGTTCGTGATTTCCTGCATGTTGCTTTGCGCAAGCTCCGTGACACAAAAATCATATTCCAAACCGTACTGTTAACCATGCAGCCTGTCAGCGCGGCCTTGGCTATAGGAGGGAAGGCAGCGGGGGCGGGCCTTCTCAGAAGGCCCAGAAGACCTCCCACCTTCCGAGAATATTTTTGTTAGCCTTCTCCGAAGACGGAGGTGGCTTTTCAGAAGGCCAGAGGGCTTCTGAGAAGCCTCGCCGCCTTCTGAGAATGCCTGCCCCCTCGCTCCCCCCCCCCGGCGCATCGCCGACCTGAGCCCTCGGGCGGGCGGCCGCCGCCGCCGCTTTCGCGAGGTTTTCTTTTGGGATGGCAATCGGGGGCAACGATGGGGGAATGGGCCGAGGCCCCCCCAAGACCGCAGGCCGTCTCGCACACTCCCGCCCGCCCTCCCAACACAGAAGTAGTACCCGAGTCTCAGCACATCGCCGAGGAGGGCCGCGCATGCCATGAGTGCCACGGCTTCAGGTGCACCGACGACGCTGTGTGACGACGTGGGCCGCGGTGCCGCTGCTCCGGATTTGGAGGCAGAGCGCATTCGGTGCTGTTTTTGTTGAGAGAGAGAGAGAGAGAGAGAGAGAGAGAGAGAGAGAGAGAGACGGTTGGCTTGCGCGCAATTTGCGCCCGAATGCCTAAAAGCCAATGACAGTGGTGGATGGGGCGCCCGCGCGTGCTTCACAGTTGGAGGCGATGTGCAGTCTGTATTGTTTTTGTCCCAGCTATCCTGTGATGTTGGGCCCTCGTTTTGAAGAGACAGCCCCCGCGTTGCCTCCTTCCTTCCTTCCTCCCCCTCCTCTTCCGTCCTCCATCAGCATGGTGATCACCCGTTTCGGCACACCCCTCACACATTTCGTGGCCCCGTAGGGAGCTCCACCGAAGGCCCCAGCGGCAGGGTCCAAATAGCGTGCCCGCATCCGATCCGGCACACCCCTCACGCGTTTCGTGGCCCCATAGATACTCCACCGAAGGCCCCGCAGCAGGGTCCACATGGCGCACCCGCACCCGATCCCGCCCCTCACACGTTCCATGGCTCCATAGAGAGCTCCACCGAAGGCTCCAGCGGCAGGGTCCACATGGCGTACCCTGACCCGGAACGGCGCACCCCTGACACGTCTCGTGGCCCCATAAGGAGCTTTCACGAAGGCCCCAGCGGCAGGGTCCACATGGCATACCCGCGCCCAATTCGGCACAACCTTTGTACGGTTCGTCGCCCCACAAGGAGCTCCACAGAAGGCTCCCGCAGCAGGGTCCCAATGGCGTACCCGCGCCCGATTCGGCACGCCTCTTACGCGTTCCAATTCGGCGTGCACGTGGTACGTGGCCCCCTGGGCAGCTCCACAAGAGGCGGTATTCACCACTGCGGCACCTACAGCTGCATATGATTAGGTTCTTCGCCAGGCTAGTTCCCAGGGGTGGCTGGCCTCCGTGCATCAAGCAATAATTATGCCTGCGCCACCACCATCCCTGTCAAAAGCCAATGCCGAGTGGTCGCGGGGCGCCCACAGAGTGGTCGCGGGGCGCCCGCGCATGCTCCGGATGTGGAGGCGAAGTGAATTATGTTTTGTTTGTGTTGGCAGGGAGGGTCGGCATGCCTGCACCCCGCCGTCCCTGTCAACAAAAATTAGCCGGGCGAAGGACCCAACCATCTTCAGTTGTGACTGCCGGTGGAGCTGCATAAGTGGCCACGAAACGTCAGACGCGCACGCCGAATTGGAACGTGTGAGGGGTGTGCCGAATCGGGTGCGGGTGCGCCATGTGGACCCTGACGTTACGGCCTTCGGTTGAACTCCCTATGGGGCCACGAAGCGTGTGAGGGGTGCGCCAAATCGGGCGCGGGTACTCCATGTGGACCCTGCCGCTGGGGCCTTCGGTGGCGGTCCTCACCGTGCCGCGAAACGTGTGTCGGGTATGCCGAATCGGGTGCAGGTACGCGATGTGGACCCTTCCGCTGGGGCCTTCGGTGGAGCCCCCTAGATGCACTTCGCCTAAAAATCCGGAGCATGCGGGAGCGACCCGCGACCACTCTGCGGGCGCACCGCGACCCATCAGCACTGGCTGCTGACAAGGATGGCGGGGGTGCAGGCATATTGCTTGATGCGCGCAGGCCAGCTACCCCTGTGAATTAGCCTGGCAAAGAACCCAATCATATGCAGCTGTGAGTGCCGCAGTGGTGAATACCGCCTCTAGTGGAGCTGCCCAGCGGGCCAGGTGCGACGTGCACGCAGGATTGGAACGCGTGAGGGGCGTGCCGAACCGGGTGCGGGCACGCCAGTTGGACCCTGCTGCGGGAGCCTTCTGTGGAGCTCTGTGTGGGGCGACGAACCGTACAAAGGTTGTGCTGAATTGGGCGCGGGTACGCCATGTGGACCCTACCGCTGGGGCCTTCGGTGGAGCTCCCTATGGGGCCACGAATCGTGTGAAGGGTGCGCCGTTTCGGGTCCGGGTACGCCATGTGGACCCTGCAGCTGGGGCCTTCGGTGGAGCTCCCTATGGGCCACGAAACGTGTGAGGTGTGCACTGACATGGGTGGTTGCGATGATAATGGAGGAGGGAGGGGGGGAGGAGGAAGGAAAGAGGGAACGCAGGGACCGTCTCTTCAAAACGAGTGCCAACACCACAGGATGATTGGGAACCAATGCAGGGTGTTCGCGGGGCGCCCGCGCATGCTCGAGATTTGGAGGCAGAGTACGTTATGCATTGTCTTTTGTCTGGGATGGTGGGGGGGGGGCATGCCCCAGGTTGGCCCGCAGTCGGGTGGGGGAGGGGGTGTTTATTGCGGCGCTTTGCGGGCGGGTGTATCTCGGACGCGTTGCGTCAGGAGCTTTGCAGGTGAAGCGTTCCTGGGAGGGGGGAGGAGGGGGAGGAGAGGAGGACGGGAGGAGGACAGGAGAAGGGGGAGGGGGAGGAGAAAGCGAGGACCAAGGGAGTTTCGTAGACTCGACGTGTCTGACACTTTGCACGTGTGGCAAGCGTGAAAGACGTGAATGGGCAACAGAAGGGTCGGAGGTGAGGGGGTGAGGTCGAAGTGGAACGGAGAGCCCCCCCATACCGGGAATTCGATTTCGGTTTCGTGTTCGTGCGCGCCGTGCGTGCGGGCGAGGCGAAGCTGCGTGGGCGGACGAGAAGAAAGTCTCCTGTAGCTTAGGCGCGCCCGGACCAAATGATTCCCGACCGGCGTCCGGTGGCCCGCGGTGTCCCGCGGTGTCCCGCCTCTGGCTGAGGCGCGCCCGGACCAAATGATTCCGGACCAGCGTCAGGTGGCCCGCGGTGTCCCGCTGGTGTCCCGCCTCCAGCTGAGGCGCGCCCGGACCAAATGATTCCGGACCGGCGTCCGGTAGCCCGCGGTGACCCGCTGGTGTCCCGTGGGTGCCCCGATGATGGTGATGATGATGATGTTGATGCTGATGCTGATGCTGATGCTGATGCTGATGCTGCTGATGATGATGATGATGATGATGTCGATGATGGTGGTGATGATGATGATGGTGATGGTGGGGATCGTGATGGTGTCCCGATGATGATGATGATGATGATGATGATGATGATGATGATGATGATGATGATGATGATGTTGACGATGTTGATGATGATGATGATGATGATGATGATGGCCATGGTGGTGATGATGATGGTGTCCCGATCATGAGGATCATGTTTGTGATGCTGATGTTGCGGATGATGATGGTGACGGTGTGCCGATGATGATGCTGATGATCCTGATAATGTTGGTGATGATGAGATGATGATGATAATGATGATGATTGTGTCCCTATGATAATGATGATGATGATCATGAGGTTGATGATGATCTGGTTGGTGATGACGATGATGGTGTCCCGATGATGATGACGATGATGGCGTCCCGATGATTGCGATGTTGATGATTAGCATTATGCTGAGGTGATGATGACTTTGATGATGCTTGCCTGATGTTGATGCTGATGTTGATGATGATTGTGCCCCGATGATGATGATGATGATGGTGACGATGATGATGGTGTCCCGATGATGATGATGATGTTGATGATGATTATGGTGCTGATGATGCTGGTGTCTTGATGATAATGAGTTTGATGATGTTGTTCATGATGGTGATGATGACTAGAGGATGGTGATGATGATGATGGTGGTGTCCCGATCATGATGATGGTGTCCTGATGATGATGTTGATACTGATGACGGTGACGATGATCGTGTCCCGATGGTGATGATGTTGTTGATGACGATGCTGATGTTGATGTTGATGGTGATGCTGTGATGATGATGATGATGATGATGGTGCCCCGATGATGGTGATCATGGTGATGTTGATGACGCTGATGACGATGATGTTGATGATGATGTATTCGATTGTGAGCTCGACTGTGATATCGCTAGTGAGATCGATTGTGAGACCGAATGTGAGATCG